ATTATAATATAATGAAACAATCTTCAAAAACCATATACCTTCAGATTTTCATTGTGCATACTACATAGGTTGGGCAACAACACAAGTACTCGGAAAACCATTGTGTAGCAAACCAATGTAATATCAACATTGTCGTCATTAACAGAATTCCTAAGAAAAAAATCACCGATTGAGCTTTAATATTAGAACAAACAATAAATAATGAAAGAATACATTCATTATGGATTTCCTAATTCTTCTTTTGTGCAGAAAATCAAACTTGAGTAAAACTCAGGAAAATTAAAAAAATAAAAAATAAAAAATATATTAATTTGTAAAATCAATGTATAAATATGTTGTATATATTTTTTAATTTTCTGATGATGATTTGAGAGTTTATTGTCCAATTCAGTTTGCCCGGACTCGGCCGAGCTCGACCAATTAATGCCAAGTTTTCCCGAGTTGCATGTAAAACTCGAGCATATTTATAAAAAAAAAAAATTGTGTGATTGACATATCGATTTACATGTTTTTGGCAAAGATTATTGAGTGATCTTTGCTATAAATCCCTATTTTTATATTTTATCTTTTTTGGGATTTTTAAAAATGCCCCAACTATAAATATTTTTCTAAATCCATTTTTCAAATACTTTTTCAAGTTTATTCAGGCTCCTTAAGGTGCTTTTTTTTTGTTTTATTCTGCTTTTAGTACATTTTCCTTATTTTTTGAATTTTTTTTGTTTTTTCTTTCTATCCATTGAGGGCTTTTCTGCCCTATGCATAACTCAGACTCAACCGAGTTCTCGGCCAAGGGCCGAATACCTTGGCTGAGTCGATTTTCTGCATTGGTCCTATTTTCATATTGTCCTCTTTTTTTGGAATTTTTTTTTTCGAGATCTATTGTTTATATATTTTTTTCCAACTTATTTGGATTTTTAAAGTTGTTTGTAGTTTAATTTTTGTTTACTATATTTATTTCATTTTTAACAAAAGTTTATTTTTTTTTTAATTTCTTTATACGCCCTGTACACTACATGGGTAAGTCCACTCTACTCGCCCAAGTTGCTCGGGTTGGGCAGGGCCCGAGTCGCGAGCCCGAGCCATGGCTTTTAACCTTGATTACCCATACAATAAGTAACAATAAAATAAGCAATCAAATAATCTTCCTTTATCAATTCATGAAATGAAAATATTTCAATAAACAGACTAAAAATAAAATTCCAACCATCCAGTAAAAATATTTCAATAAACAGACTACAAAGAAAATTCCAACAACAGCTTTATTTCAATGGGAGATGGGGTTTAAACAAAGCTTAATTTCAATGGGAGATCAGGTTTAAACTAGCCTTCTAATCTGCAGCTTACCCAGAACAAATTGACTTAATGATAACCAATCCAGAAGCGAAACAAATCATATTTCCAAAACCCTAGTTTCAAAGAAAATCTAAGTTTTCCACGTCTTGAGTGCCAATTATGTAGATGAAAGTCCCGCAATTGAACAATCCATTGAGATAGAAGTTCGGAAAATAACAGGAAAAGAGGAACAGAATGTATGAATACAATATATTGAACAGACAATTAAATAAGTAACAATCTTTGGTTTCCGAGGCAAAAAAAAAAAAAGTGAAAAATAAATTAAATTATTCAATGAAAATTCAAATTAAATGTCGAAAATACAGAGGAGAAAACGTGTCAAATACACAGTGATACCTGGATCTTGAGAAGCCGAAAAGTAGTCCAATGTCTTATGGCCTGATCAATGGCATGCTCAATTGTTTCTAGTTTTATTTCAACGAATAAAGAATGGGAAAAGGACTATGGGAGACCTTTCTTTTTTATGTAAAGACCCTGGAATCCCGCTTACCTTGTGAATAAATGAGAGATACATCCAAATTTTATCATAATATGTAATTTTGGTGTAAAAGATTTTTACGATTAT